TCTCTTAGCCTTTTTTATGTATTCGAGGTTCTTATGGTCTGTCCATACCAGGAACGGCTGAGCGGCCCCCTCTAGCCAATGTCTCCACTCCTCCAAGGCTTGTTTCACTGCCAGTAGTTCACGATTGCCCACGTCGTAGTTCCTTTCCGCTGGGGACAACTTACGGGAGAGATAAGCGCAGGGATGGAGCCTATTATCCTTTGCAGCCCGCTGAGAGAGAACTGCCCCCACACCGAGGTTAGAGGCATCCACCTCTACCACGAACTGTCGAAGTGGATCTGGGATGGTGAGGATGGGAGCAGAGTAGTGTTAATTTCGTCAGCTATTTTTTTAATTTAGCTTTAGTCTTAGTCCTGTGTTAAAAAAATTCGTTTTAGTCATATTTAGTCACCTTCATCCTGTTTTTATTTAGTCAAGTTTTAGTCGACTAAAAGACTGAGCATTTTAGTCTTATTTTAGTCGACTAAAACAGTAAACATTTTAGTCAAGATTTAGTCGACTAAAAGTCTTATTTTAGTCAAAGAAAACTGATTATTTTAGTCTACTTTTTGTCAATGAAAACTGTTGAGTCTTTTTTAGTCATCAGATTATATAGAACATTTCAGTCAAACTAGTCTAGCCAAAACCAATAATTTGTCATTTTAGTATATATAAATAAATAAGATTATATCTTGTCCTTATTTGATGAAAAACACAGATTGAATGATTAAGAATGCAGCTTTGCAGAGAGTATCTGGTCAGGTTTGTGGTGTTTTTACCTGTGTTATGGCCACATTGCTTCCCTTCTGATAAAACAATGCATTCGCTTTTTTTCTCCGCCTCATTGTAGCGAAAATGGGGCCAAATATCACATTGTTTCTTTCTCCCAAGCAGTGGTGGCTTTAGACTTTTTCGTTGTCATTTTGACGGACAGGATCGTAACATTTCAATAATCCATTATTATCCGTCGAGTGCACAATTTATCAATCACTCGCGCTGACGGGGGGGTATTCGGTTAACGCGAGTGCGACCACTGCTCCCAAGCCCTGTTGTTGCCATTTTATTTTCTGTTAAATAAGGTTAGTTAGACCATGAGTTAGACCCGAGTCTTCCTGACAGTTCACAGTGTGCCGCTGCTCAGTGTAATTCAAATCTACCACCGCGCGCAGCACAGACACACACAGCTGCTGCCCTGCCGCAGAACCGGAAATGGAACTGCTGGGAGAAAAACTGACTATCAGAGATGTAACGTTATCTTTGATAATATTTAGTCTCCTCATTTTTCGTCAACGAAAGTAAAGAGAGATTTTGGCATAGTTTTTATTTAGTAAACTACATTTTCGTCTCGTCACTTTTCGTCAACGATATTGCATGATGATTTCGTTACAGTTATTGTTTACTGCCGTCGGTGCCGTCTCGTCATCGTCTCGTTTTCGTCATGGAAAAAAAGGTTGTTGACGAAAATATTTCGTCATAGTTTTAGTCAACGAAATTAACACTAGAGCAGAGGTGAACATCTCCTTTAGAGCTTGAAAAGCGTTAGCAGCTTTGGAGTTCCATTCAAAAGGGACATGAGGAGAGGTAAGTACATGTAGCGGGGAAGCAATAGAACTGACATTTCTGATGAAAGGTCTATAAAAATTTGCAAACCCCAGGAACTGCTGTAGTTTTTTCCTGTTGACAGGAACTGGCCACTCGGCCACGGCACTGACCTTGGCAGGGTCCATCTTTATTTGACCGGGGGCAATGATGAAACCCAGGAACGATGTGGTTTGGACATGGAACTCGCACTTCTCTGCTTTAACATAAAGTTGGTTCTGTAGCAGGCGGTCGAGGACTTGACATACATGCTGCTGGTGGGTTATGTTGTCAGGAGAAAAAATCAAAATGTCATCAAGATATACAAACACAAACTTATTCAGGAAGTCCCCCAACACCTCATTTATGAGGGCCTGATACACTGCCGGTGCGTTTGTCAAGCCAAAAGGTACTCATAGTGTCCACTAGGTGTGTTAAATCCAGTCTTCCATTCGTCCCCCTCCCTGATTCTCACCAAATGATAAGCATTCCTTCAATCCAGTTTGGTGAAAATGTTGGCGTCTTGCAAAAGTTCAAAGGCGGAGGAGATGAGTGGGAGAGGGTACCTGTTTTTGATGGTGATTGAGTTCAGAGGGCTGTAGTCTATACAGGGCCGGAGTGATCCATCCTTTTTGTCTACGAAAAAGAAGCCCGCTCCCGCCGGTGACGAGGAAGGGCGAATGAGTCCGGCCTGCAAGGAGGTCTCAATATAATTGTTCATGGCCTCCCTTTCGGGTCCGGAAAGAGAGTAGAGGCGACCTTTGGGAATGGGGGAGCCAGATACCAAGTTTATAGCACAGTCATTAGGCCTATGTGGTGGCAGGTCAGTGGCTCGGGCTTTACTTAAAAACCTCCTTTAGGTTCCAATAGCAATTGCGCAGCTTGGACTTGTCAGAGAAATCTTGCTCCTGTACTTGGATAGCCTCAGTCATTTCTGTACATGCAATCTGAACAACAGCTTGGGTCTCAATCCTTCTAGCATGGGGAGTGTTGTCACCAGTCTTATTGTCTCTCAAACAGAAATGCTTGCAGTCCTCTCCCCATCCCTTAACTCTCCCAGATCTCCAGTCTATGTGTGGGTTGTGCTTGACTAACCATGGGTAACCAAGAATAAGTGGATGCTGAGCCGAGTCAAATAAATGGAAAGTCATGTGTTCAGTATGTGTTGCATTTACGGTTATTTCAATGGGCATAGTACAGTGGGTAACGGTAAACAATAACCGACCATCCAGAGCAGAGGCCTTTAACGGTTGCTTCAAAGGAATTACCACACAGTTCCATTTCTTGGCCAACCCCCAATCCATTAAACTTTCATCTGCACCAGAGTCTATGAAAACCCCCTGAGTTAAAACATGTCTGTCTACTTTTACCTGTACCTGTGTCAACGTACGAGGAGGGAATCCAGATGACAGTCGGCTCACCAGGGTCCTCCTCGTCCCTGATGAGCCCGATCTTTTGCTGTACAAGAAGCCAGGAGGTGCCCCTGCTCCCCACAGTAAAAACACCTGCCCTACTTGAATGCGCCGAAGACGTTCCTCCGGAGTCAACTTTGCCCGACCCAACTGCATGGGCTCCTCTGAGACACTAGGGAGCACTCTTCTCTCAGGAGGAGTATCGGCAGGAGGTCTCCAGGCGGGACGATGGCTTGGTGTGTCCCCTTGATGTCGAGGCAGACGTGCCACATTCTTGAACCTTTCTTTTTGTCTTTTTCGGCCAGTCTATTGTCTATTCGAACTGCCAGTGCAATGACAGAATCCAAGTCTTCTGGGAGGTCCAAAGGTATTAACTGGTCTTTAATGGAATCCGAAAGACCAGACAAAAAGGCGTCGAGCAGTGCTGAAGAATTCCAGCCACTATCTGCTGCAAGGGTCCTGAACTCAATGGCATAGTCCGATACTCTGCGCTGACTCTGCTTAATCTGCATCAGTGCTCTGGTTGCCTCCCTTCCAGGAGCCGTGCGATTAAACACCTTGGTGAGAGTGTCTGTAAATACATCCAGAGAATTACAGGTAGGTGAATCTCTCGCCCATTCGGACGTAGCCCAGGCCGCTGCTCTCCCCGTTAAGTGGCTCACCATGAAGGCCACTTTAGAGTGATCAGTGGAGAATGCAGCAGGGTTATATTTATAATGGAGATCACAATGAACAATGAAAGGGCGACAGTCACCGGAATCTCCGGAGAATCGCTCTGGAGATGCCAGACGAGGCGGTGGAGCATGGAGTGGCACATGGTCAGCTGGAGCAATTGGTGTGTGAGCAACAGCAGGAGGCTGAGGGAATGAACCAGCTTCCAGGTGAGCGAGGACACGGTGCAGCTGTTCGGCAAGGTGATTCACCTGAGTATTGACGGAGGCTTGAACATTTTCCTGACGGCCGGTCAGGTCCCTCACCCCCAGGTTGATGGTGCCCAGCTGCTCCTCATGCTGGTGTAGTCTCGTTCCTTGAGCTTGCAGAGCTATCTTCACTGTCTCTGAATCCGCTGGGTCCATATTTTGGTCAGTTCGTACTGTTATGAACCGAGACACAGGACGCAGGACCCAAAAGCAGGACTCGGAGACAGTTGTCCAAAAATAAAATGTTCTTTAATAACAAAAACTAAATCGTACTTTCAAAAAATAGAAAGTAGTTAAAAAGCCAAAACTAAGTTGTACAGCAACACAAAAACTCACTTGGCAAAAGGTCTAAATCGCAAGGTAGGTATCAGGATTCAAAAGGCCTAGGTGCTCACGACATGAAACATAACGAACTGACAAAGGAACAAAGAAACACCAGGTCCATATATAGGTGAGGGGGATGGGCACAGGTGAAGACAATCAGGGCAGGGCCAAGCAATCTCACGGGTGGGAAACATACAAAGGCAGGAAATGTGGGATCTGGAATGACAGGAAAGATTACTTTCAAAATAAAAAGAGGAAGTGACAAGATTAAAACACAAAACTAGAGTAAAACATAACTAAACCTAACATATCTGTCGAGTCACAACACCAACAACAAGAAAAATCCTCATTCCTTTTTCTTTTATTCAGTTATTGTAATATTACATTTCCTAGTGGTTCTTTACTAAACTTAAAGAATTGTAAATGTAATAAAAATGACAGGAATCTGAACATTTCTGTCCTGGGCAAATCCCAGTAGTAGTAGGTAAAAAGGCATTGGCAGACAAAACATATGTCAACTGAAAATGTACATTATAATACAATCCAAAAATGTGGGTTTTAAAAGAGTACTGCCCCATTTTAGCTTTGCATTCCAACACCAAGGATCAGAATGGATGCAGCAGAACCAGATATTGTCTTTTTTATTCCACATATTTGATTTTCCTTGTTAAAGTCTAGCACTTGGTTGGAGATTTAGGTGTGTTAGTATCGTCTAAATGAGCATGGAGACACTAGCTGCTACATATAGTTATAACAATAATGTTATTGTTCCCTGGTGTTCTGTCAGATTCACTGCAGGTGGCTCAGATATGGCCGGAGGTGGAGCGGGCCGAGTGCCTGGCCCGGGGCGCTGCCCTGAAGTGGGCTTCAGGTGTGTTCTGTCGGCCGGAGCATCTGGAGCGGCTGAGCCAGTACAGGAAGAGAGAGAGTCAGAGGACTGCCTCCATACACACCAGACTCAAGGTGACACCACAGACATCACAATCAGCCTGTCCTCCTACAAAAAACGACCATATAGGTCGATTGTTCAGCAGCTTAATACGACCCAGAGTCACGTTTTAAAGTGTAGCACCTCTAGTGGTCGTGTAAGAAAAAACATGCTCCCGTTTATTCACAAATAACCCTATCTGGAAAATCCTAAATTGTGGAATAGTTTGGCCATTAAAATGTTTTTTTATTAGATTTATAGCGAGAAGTGTATATTGTACTTTTATAATCTACGTCCAGTCGATGTGTAGGATCTATAGTTTGATAGATATTACGAAGATGATTTGAGGTCTCGCCAGGATAACGTGTATGCAGCTTCCATGTAAAGTTAGCGTGGGTGAAAACAGTTTTTCCGGTCTTGAAGTTTTCATTATAAAACCAGAAGTATTCCCCACACTGTCAAATGATTACACAGTGATATCTGCATTACTCATCCACTAAAAAAAATCAGTTTATCCTTGTTAATTACACAATATTGATTGGTTTAAATTGTGTACAATGCTTTTGTGTTTTTAACCTTCGATTCGGAAAAACAAATTGTTTATTTGGAGTTTAGACACTACAGAGTTTCCGAAGACACTACACTACCCAGAATCCCCAGCTATCGTTTGGGACTACAACACCCGCCTTGCTTTACAAACCCCGTGATTAGTCATCAAGCCCTGTGATTGGATGTTGGAGTGGCAGTGCGACAAGGTTACGCCGAGCGTCAAACAGCTCTTTGAAATGGAATGGAACCACGGCAGACTTTCCAAAACTGGACTTGGACGGGTCCAGCCCCCGGGTCCAGCCCCCCCAGAATTACACATGCTGGCTATTGTGTGTTTCGCAACATGTTCTATGGCACGTCTCTACTGGGAATTGTAGTTTTAAAAGATGTTTACGTATTTCCCACAATTAGTGTGTCCATAATGGGCAGCATTAATATACCCACATGACAGCTAAGGTCAGAAGAGCTTTATTTAACAGCTGGTCTTATGTCTGTGACCCTTCCTGTTGTTCATTGATAAGCCTGAAACATGCACTTGTATAGGTTCAGAGGCACATTTAGCAAATATGGCAGTAGCCATCGATCATCTTAAGATAAGATAAGATACTTTATTGATCCCAAGTTGGGAAATGTTTTTGTTACAGCAGCATACTACTTTGTTCTACTCCACTACAATTCAGAGGTTAACCTGGTATATTTACTCTACTACATTTATTTGTGTTACTTTGCAGATTCTGATTAATGATGTGAAATATAAACAACCCTTAAATCAGACTTTAGTTACACCTGAGTCAAATTCAGCCTTATTAGTTTGTCTGTTTTGCACATCGTCCTGTTAATAGGCTTGTTTGAGACACATTGCGGCTCGCCTCGAAAGTAGACGAGAGTAGCCGATCGCAGCCGGGGGAGGTGTCAAAAAGCTCGTCTTAAGTCGGACAGCTCGGAGTCGGCTTGACTGGCTGGGTTTGCAATGTCGGAAATTGCGTTGGCGTTTTTCGTTGCAGATGAAGTGGATGCAATAGAAATCCCACAATTATTATATCACTACAAATGAATGACTCAAGTGTCAGTTCATTTTGAAACAAATCAGTACAAGGGGGGTTGAATACATGTAAAAGACAGAACCACTTATTACTTTTCAAAACTACTTCCGTCAGTGGTCTTGACAAGTTTGCATTTATAAAGAATGCACAAATGTGTATATTCGTTAATGTCAGATATGTACTAAGTAAATGCATTTGTTCCTGCTCAAGATTAGATTCAACTTTATTGTCATTGCACATATTACAGGTACTGAGACAACGAAATGCAGTTTAGCTTCTAACCAGGTGCAACAAGCAGTAAAGTGAAAAGTAATGTACACAACCTACAGAATAAAAATGAATTGAATGATGAATAAACAGTGAGGGGTATGAATACACTAGATATCAGCCTGTGAGCAGCATGAACAGTGTGTATGAATATGCTAAGATATATAAAGTATGAAAACGGTAAGCAGTATAGTATAAAATATATGGATATTAATTTAATGATGATAAACATTGTGGAACAATGATGAAAAATGGGAATGGATGTGGCGACGTAAAACTGACACAAAACAACAACAAACTTTTGCCAGCCAATTGGAGAGTTTCATCAGCAGCACGTGGTAAAAACCACCAATGAGCGCTCAGCTCGAGATACCAGCGAGACGTTTCCCATCAAGCATTTCGCTTCTGCAGCCCGTGGAGAGCAACTGCGCCAACTCGCCTCGCCTCGCTCTCAAGGCTGCGGGCGTCTTTGTCCCGCGAAATTTCAAAGTCTCATGTGGGCGGGCCTCCAGAGCAAGTCGGACAAAATGACTAACCATCATGCAACGCACTAGCAAGACGTTGATCGCAACTGCGCAGGTCTTGCTTGTCTCAAACAAGCCTAATATCTTTGGACGTCCTGCACTAAACTGTTTTATTGTAGAGATCACGACATTATCTTCTTGATATTTTCTATCATTGACCCTTATTTTGTATGTAGGCTACTCTTAATATTTAAATGTTTTCATCAAATATAACTTATTCAACAACTAATTTCAATAACGTGCTTTAACCACTAGGCGGTGCGGGTTAAAAAAAACAGTGGTGTAGGGAGCAGCGACATGTGAGGATGCAGTTTTCGGAAGGAACATTTCAAAAGTTATTTTTCGCCTCTTTTCTCGCTCCCGTGGGGCAAATGTGTCTCTAAAGTGTTCAGCTATCTAAAAGTAACCGTGTTTTGATTTGGTTGTACATAAAATTCTCAAAAAATGCAGAGGAACCAAAGACCGAAACCAGGCCCAAACGCTGCGGACTCGCCTGAGGAAGACAAGGCCGGGTCAGCGGAGCCGCTGTCGGATACACAGGCAATCATGGCCGCCCTGAAGCGGACTGAGCAGTGTGTGCTAACTAAAATCGACTCAACGGTGACGGTGGCTGTAGGTGAATTGCACACCAAAATAGACAACCTGTCGAGGGACTTAAGATCAGAAATCTTCAATGTGCGCACAGAGTTTACTAAGGTTGTTGAAGATGTTAGGAAGGAGAACGCAACTTTCGTAACGCGCATTGAAGGCCTTGGGGAGGGGGCTAATTGCTATGCTAACCGGGTAGTGGAACTCGAGGCTAAAGTTACTACGCTGTCCTCACAAGTAAACAAGTTGGTGGACAAAACCGAAGATCTAGAGTCTCGACCACGGAGAGATAATTGTCGACTAGTTGATGTGGCGGAAGGGACTGGGAATATTCAACCAGAGAAAGCCATAGCTCAACTACTGCAGGATGCTCTGAGCCTGGACTACACACCGACGCTTGACCGTGCACATAGGGGCTTGCAGCCGAAACCAGCTGATGGGGATGCCCCGAGGCCGATCATCATTAAATTCCACTACTTTCAGGAGAAAGCAGATATTATACGGAAAGCCATGGGAGCGCGGCCCATCTTCCACAATGGCAAGCGTTTCTACATCTACCCGGACTACACGCTCTCGGTGAGGAAAAGGAGGGTGGCGTTTACTGAGGTCCGGGGGCTGCTGCGCAGATGCCCTGGTGTGAAGTATGGACTTGTGTATCCAGCCACACTTAAAATCACAACCTCAGCTGGAGATCAAAAGTTATTTGAAGACCCAACCAAGGCAAAGCACTACATTGAGACGGATTTGCACCCGCGGGATCCGGAGGGAGAGTGATAATCAATATTGGGGCCATGACAGGTACTGTTGGAGCTGCAGGATAATGTCACAGCCTGTGTCACAATGACTACATTTTTGACTGTTAATTACACTACAGTTGGTTGCGCTTTATGTGTGGACTATGGACAATGAGTCAGGGAAATTACAACAATACAGATTTTCTTAAGTTATAGCTGTTTATATCTCCCAACTGTAGGTGTTTAAGGCTGTTTTAAGTTATGACCACATAAGTGCAGCAATGTCGGTACTATGAGAAGGGCCATGTTTCATTTAAATTCATATTGTTCTGCCCTTGCACAGTTCAGTCGAGTGTTTAGGTTAGTCTTGACGTGTTATATGCCTAAGAGTAGGACGAGTGTTTGTAGGGCAGTCTCAGGCTTTAAGAAGACCAGCCCGGGGATCGAGGATGGTAAGAGTTTATTTTTTGTTACTTTCTTAACTTTTGTCTGTTTTATGGTACTTTTTTGGTTTTCTATTGCCTTAACCCAAGATTGCACATATGTGTTCAGATTTTGCCAACTTTCAAGTCCAGACCATGTATCCAGTGGCAGAGTTATGGCTCCTGATGCTGTATAAACAACAAGGTGCATTCTCTTTCATCAGCTGGAATGTCAAAGGCCTAAATAATATGGTGAAACAGAGTAAAATATTTGCCCATTTAAAATCATTGAAGCCTGATGTGATGTTTCTGCAGGAAACACATCTGAATATTAACTCCCAAAAGAGACTAAGATGCAGTTGGATTGGACAAGTGTATCACTCGCGTTTTGATTACAAAACCAGGGGCACAGCAATTTTAATTAGAAAGGGGATACCTGTTGAACTCTCTGAAATAATATCTGATCCCAATGATAGATATATTGTTGCAGTTGGCAGGTTGTTTAATACTCCTTTAATATTGGCTAACATCTATGGACCGAATTGGGATGACTCAAAGTTTTTCATAAACTTCTTCTCAGCCCTCCCTGACCTCAATAGGCTACCTATAAATTGTTACTGGGTGGTGATTTTAACTGCGTTCTCCATGCCCACCTTGACAGATCCAACCCTAGACCTAATAGTACCCTGTCAACATCTGCGATAGCTATAAACTCCTTCCTGCGCTCCTGTGGCCTATCCGACCCGTGGCGGACAAAACATCCTAATACTAAACAATTTTCGTTTTTCTCCCCTGTCCACCATAGGTATTCCAGGATTGATTATTTCATTGTAGATGACCAATTACTTCCCTTAATCCCCAGGAGCCAGTACCACAGCATTGTGTTATCAGACCATGGTCTGATAACACAATGCTGTGGTCCAGTACAAATGGATATGATGTTTCCTGGTAATATAGCACCCCAACGCACCTGGCGTCTAGACCCCCATTTGCTTTCATATGAACACTTTAAAACTTACCTCAGTGGCCAGATTGACTTTTTTCTAGAAATTAATGACACCAGGGATATTTCTAGGAGTGTTCTATGGGAATCCCTAAAAGCTTACATCAGGGGACAGGCTATTTCATACACTGCACATAAAAATAAAGAGCAATCTAAGAAACTTAAAGAACTGACACACAGCATTGCAGATGTTGATAGACGGTATGCTTTCTTGCCCACGGCAGATCTTTTTAAAGAAAAAGTACTGCTTCAATCTGAATTTAACACACTTTCGACGTGGAGAGCTGAAAAAAATATTTTAAGAACTAAACAGGTTTACTATGAACATGGGGACAGAGCAGGGAGACTCCTCGCACTCCAGCTCAAGCGGCTGGACAGACGATCCCAAGGATCAATACAGGTGCCGATTCGACTTTGCATAATCCCCAAATAATTAATGACCAGTTTAAGCAATACTATTCTACTTTATATCAATCAGAGGTAGATGTTAACTCGTCTGAAATTCAGTCGTTTCTGGATTCCTTACACATCCCAAAACTCTCACCAGACTCCCAGTGCTCCTTAGAGCAGCCATTAACGGTTGGAGAAATAGAAGGCGCAATCAGACTGTCTAGTACAGGGAAGGCACCAGGTCCGGATGGGTTTCCCATCGAGTTTTATAAGGAATATTCCTCAAAACTTGTGCCGGTTTTAAAATCGGTTTATGAAGAATCACTGGTTAATGGTAAATTGCCACCAACACTCTCTCAAGCGACAATTTCAGTGATATTGAAAAAAGACAAGGATCCCTCACAGTGTAGTTCCTATAGACCAATCAGCCTTCTTTGCTGTGATTATAAAATATTAACTAAAGTCCTTGCGCAGCGATTAGAAGCCTTTATTCCTACCATTATTGATAAAGACCAAACAGGTTTCATCTCTGGGCGACATTCATTTTTTAATGTACGGCGGTTATTTAATTTATTATTGTCCCCTAAATCCACAGTACGGCCTGAAATTATCCTGAGCCTTGATGCTGAAAAGGCGTTTGATAGGATTGAGTGGAACTATCTTTTTTCTGCCTTGGAAACATTTGGACTGGGACCTGTTTTTTGTAAATGGATTAAGACAATATACTTAGCTCCTACAGTCGCTGTTAAAACAAACAGTCTTATTTCCGAATATTTTATGCTCTACAGAGGAACAAGGCAGGGATGCTGCCTGTCACCCTATATATTCGACATTGCAATTGAACCCTTAGCAATTGCTATCAGAACGGACAATAGGATTAAGGGCATTTCCAGGGGCAACACAGTGCATAAAACATCTCTATATGCGGATGACCTGCTCTTGCAAATGTCAGACCCAATAGAAAGCATGCCATGTGTTCTCTCCTTGCTGAAGACATTTGGGAACATATCAGGTTACAAAATTAACTTGTCAAAATCTTTACTATTTCCTCTCAATTACATGGCAAGGCTGGAGGATTATGGTCATCTGCCCTTTAGGATTGAAAATGAAAAATGTACTTACTTGGGTATTGAGATAGCAGGCTCGGTTAAGGATATTTTAAAGTACAATTATAAATCTATCTTGGAACGCACCAAGAATGATCTAGATAGGTGGTCGAAGCTGCCTGTCACACTAGCAGGGCGGATAAACGCTGTGAAAATGACAATATTGCCCAGATATTTGTACCTGTTTCAGATGATTCCGATTTTCATCCCAAAATCCTTTTTTGCCCAACTAGACAGTCTTATCTCTGCGTTTATATGGAATAAGAAGCCTGCACGCACAAATAAGGCAAATCTGAAGGTGGTTTGGGTCTACCTAATTTCCTATTTTATTACTGGGCAGCTAACATAGCTAAACTCACATACTGGAGTACCACATTTGCAGACAAGGAGGGCCCAATATGGGCTACAATGGAGTTGGAGTCCACACTCCCAGTTTCCCCAATCTCATTTTTAACTGCCCCCCTTCCATTGAATGTTTAAGTGAGTTTAACTCAAACTTAGTGGTCCAAAACTCAATTAAGATCTGGGGTCAATTTAGGAAACATATGAATCTGAAAAGCATATGCAGTTTCTCGCCAATAATGTCTAATCACCTTTTTACACCATCCCGTTTGGACATGGCATTTGCTGTTTGGCATATAAGTGTCTTGGTCTATTTTCAAGATCTTTTTAGTGACGGCAGTTTTGCATCCTTTACACACTTGTGTAGGGATCACAACATACCAAAATCTCACTTTTTTAGATACCTCCAGGCTCGGTCTTTTGCGTCTAAACATTTTCCAGGATATCCATGTCCACCCTCTCAAGATCTAGCTCACTCGGTTCTTCATGTGAATCCATTTAATAAAGGGGCTGTGTCCAAAATATATACATTGATTCTGAATAACTGCCCTCCAACATGGGACAAAACTAAAAAAGCATGGGAATGAGATATTGGTGATTCTATTTCAGAGGAAGCCTGGGGAAGCATTGTTTCACGTATACACACCTCTTCTTTCTGTATTAGACATGGATTAATCCAATTTAAGGTAGTACACCGGCTACATTACTCCAACGACAGACTAGCTAAGATCTTTCCCAGTGTCGCTCCAACCTGTCCCAGGTGTCATTATTCTCCTGTTTCCCTGGGCCATATGTTCTGGTCATGTCCGTCATCAAGCAGTTTCTGGGCTTCTGTGTTTCGGTCACTCTCTGCAATATCAGGCAGGATGCTATCTCCTAATCCTCAAACAGCTATTTTTGGAACTGTTGATACTGGACTAGGGTTCTCCTCCCTCCACAAAAATGCGGTTGCCTATGCGTCGTTGCATGCTCGCCGTCTCATACTGCTAAATTGGAAAGGAAAAAATCCCCCTTCCTATATTCACTGGATCAGGGAAGTGATGCTTGGGCTAGACTTGGAAAAATTGAGATATGCAGTGCGCGGTTTAGTCAACAAATACGACTAAACTTGGTCGCTATTTATTACCCATGTTAGAGGCCTATCTCTCACCTGATTCACTTTGCATTTGTCTTTGACTATTGACCTGGGCACTCTGGGGTCCCTAACTTTGGGCTTGAAGTTGTTGCGTACCTTGTCAGACTAAGGGTTTAGAAGGCTGGCAATAAGAATAGCATAAACTGAAATGCTTTTTTGGGTTATGTGTGTGATGTTTTATTATATCTGATTATCTACTCGTATACTGTCTATTATCGTCATTTTTGTTGTATGTGTTTATTTTGGTATATTCCTTATTTTTTCATTTATTTTACTTGTATTTATATATTTTTTATATTTTATTTCTATGACTATTCGTTTTTTCCGGTTTTTTTTCGTTTGTCTATTCACTGGGGAATACCACCTGGAGGGGGAGGGGGGTGGGATTTGGGGCGTTTGCAACTTGTTGTCATAAATGTTAGACATACTGTATTTGTGATGAACTGAAAAATAAAGTTGTTAAAAAAAAAACAAAAAAAAACAGTGGTGTAGTTAATAAAACATAATAATATCAAACATTATATTACTATTAACTTTATTGTGAAATTAAAACAGAACGGTAAAGGAAAATACAGTTTCAGTCTCTCGATTTGAAACTTATGCATTGTACCATGAACCTGTATACCTGTAATAGTCAACTGCATGAGGAGTTGGAAAGGTAGTTCAGAAAATCGGTAATATCTTTAAAAACTACAAAAAGTCCCTTTCTATCAGCTGTGCACGGTTATGGTGTAAATACAGACCATCTACCAATTGGATCAAATATAAAAGTCAGCCGAATTAGTGTTGATACTGCAAGGAGACGTATTGTGTGAAAATAAATGTAAGATGTTGTTTAATTGCTGATATATTTATGATCCACGTCACATATTCAGTTTTGGCGGTATTTCTTCCAGTTTGTCTAGAAGTCTTCTCATCAGGGCTCTATAAATAGAGAACTACGGCAGATGTGTAATATTTAATGCAGCCGAACCGTGTATTACAATGCCGTTATGTGATAACTTCCAAAGAGAAAAGTATTATTTTATTTCTTTTAAATGTTTTCCGATTTCATATCACATAAACACCATATCCCGACGTGCATTGCGGCGGGATCAAACCCCTCTGAAAAAAGAAATGTGTCTCAGAATCGAAAGAGAAAAACCTATGGGAAAAACACAAAAGCATTGTACACAATTTAAACCAATAAATGTCATATAATTAACAAGGATAAACTGATGTTTTTTAGTTGATGAGTATTGCAGATATCACTGTTAAATCATTTGATCATTGGTTTTATTATGAAAACGTCGAGACCGGAAATACTGTTTTCAACCCGTAACTTTACATGGAGGCTGCCGCATACCTCAAATCATCTTCGTAATATCTATCAAACTATAGATCCTACATATCGACTGGACATGGATTCTAAAAGTACAATATACACTTCTCGCTAGAGATCTAATCAAAAAGCGTTTTAATGGCCAAAATATCCTACAATTTAGGATTTTACAGAGGGTTATTTGTGAATAAACTGTAACGTTTGCATTCAACGGGAGCACTAGAGGCCGAAAACTTTAAAACGTAATTATAGGTCGTATTAAGCGCTTAAACAAACGATATATTTGGTCGTAATAAGGGCTTGAACAATCGGCCCATTTGGTCATATGAGTTAGAGGACTTGTTGATCACAATATGTACTCTAAATGGTTGCACTTAGAAATGGTTGCTGTTAGTCAGTCAGAGGGGAGCTGTTAGTCAGTCAGAGGGGATCAATAGTAACCACTGTGCTGCTCCTTTCCTTCCAGTCCATGGTGCAGTCGTACCTGGAGGGGGTGGGCTGGGGTCTGGAGCAGCTCCGGGGTGCCCGGGGGGAGCTGAAGGAGGTGTCGCAGGCTCTGAAGAGAGCAGGACTGGAGTCTGATGGAAACACAGCGGGGGTAAAGTCTCTGGAGAGGATGAGAGAGGTTTCTGTCAGCCACCGTCAGCTCCTCGCTGCTGTCAGCAACCTGCCACGACTATACTCTGGTGAGAGGGCCGAACACTCATTCATTCATAATGATTTCTGTTCATGATTATATCATAGAGCGACCAAACTGTGCGTTAGATGGATCAAATTCAAGTACACTGGCAAAACCAGAAGGTATGGGTCCTCTTGGATAATGGTCTCCAATGCTGGTCAGTCACAGGAGGAGCTTCAGTTAAGACTATATTCACCAGATTGACCACAGAGCATCAGACTGTTTAACTCAAAAGACTGGCATTGGACTACAACATCAGCAGCCAAACCCTTCAAAAATGTGCAATTTAGCATTTATATCTTATTAATACCAATACATCACTGTATGCATATATATTTATTACAACGTGCATTTTTACCTTAACTTCTCATATTAAAAAAGAAAAAGTATATTTATCTTTTTAGTCTAACTTCTTATGTTTATATCAACCTTTTTACTTTGTTTTTTTTATTTTATTGTATCTTTTTATTGCACATTTTTACTTTAACTTATAGTTTATTTTATTTTTGTATTTTATTTAAAAAAACATTTAATTCTAAAATGGAGAACATGTCACAAAACGGTGGTTTACATATTGTAACCCTGGTTATATAAGCACAGGCGGAGCCCTCTACTGGACTCTATGGGTACTACCCTTAACCATGCTATGCGAGCATTCACATACTGAGTTGCATAAACGTAACTGGCCAATCAGGGCAAGTCTACCTGAATGCGCACGCAGGCACAGTATATAAGGTGGCCACGCCTCCAGATCCTGTTATCCTACACCCTCTTTAGCGAGCGGCATAGGAAAGACAGGGCCCCTAGGTAGAGGGCTCCGCCTGTGCTTATATAATCAGGGTTACAATATGTAACCTCCCGTTATATTACACAGGCTCCGCCCGCTACTGGACTCTATGGGTACAGTGGGTGGAGCCCTGATGGATAAACGCCCTGTAGTTCAGCAGCATCGACCCATCACACTGCCCCTGACCGGCTTTTGGTCCCCACACTCATACACGCTTAACTCGTGTTGAGTGTGCATGGAAAATAGTGAGGAAGGGGAGGAGTGTCCTCCAATCCTGTACGGGGTTTGCAGCATACTACGTTTCCCGTGTCCCTAAGGCGCATGGGAAAACATAAGCGCACTATGTCCCGGGGGGGGTGCCTACTGAACCACAGCCCCCCCCTCTCACCAGTTGTGTGTTGCCCCAGCAAGCACCGAGGATGAGAAGGAGTCAGACATGTCCAAGAGATAAGACCTTATGGAGGGGCCTGGCGTAGACCAAGACGCCACCATGCATATGTCCTCCACACTCACGCCGTTGAACAAGGCTGAAGACACGGCCATACCCCGTGTAGAGTGTGCACTCGACCCCAGTGGGGAAGGCCCTCCCAGCCTGTCTGTAGGCATATGAGATGCACTCGCTGAGCCATCCTGTCAGGCGCTTCTTGGACAGAGCTTTACCGCCCCCCCCCCCCCCCCAAAGCACACAAACAGCTGTTTGGTGCGCCTAATGGAAGCCGTTCGCTCTACATAACATGCCAGCGCACGCACTGGGCCGAGGAGCTGTAATTTAGGCTCCCTTGCCCCAATATGGGGTGGAAGACTAAAGCCGTTCAATTGTATAATAATAATAATAATAATACATTTAATTTCAAAGCGCTTTTTCAGGTGCTCAACGAACGAACAAACTCCCTGGGTTTTTGGGAACAAAGGAGGGGTTCGGTCTGAGTGTCGCCCCACTACGGTCACCCCGGATCAAAAGGCAACTCGGGTGTACCGACAGAGCGGTCAGCTCGGACACTCTTTTGGCTGAAGTCAAGGCAAGCAGCATAGCTGCTGTCAATGACAGAGCCTTCAGGGAGGAGCGCTCCAGAGGCTCAAATGGTTCTGTGACCAGAGCCTCGAGCACCAACGGCAGGTCCCATTGCGGGGAGGAGGCGCGCCCTACTGGGCGCTGCAAACGCGTCTTCCCCCAAGGGTGGATTGTCCCGCCGAGCCATGGAGAACCACAGGGCACAGTGGCTGTTGCGCCGGTTGGCGAACAGGTCCACCTCCGCTCTCCCGAACTGGGCGTGAACACCGTGATGTAGGAGGTCACTCGCCCCAGTGGAGTTCCCCTCCGCAGATGTTTTTGGGACCCCCAGTATCGGAGGTTGCCCTCCACTGATGGGGGGGGGATGGTCACCAGACGTAGTTTGTGCCTCTTGGGATCTAAACAAAGACCGGGAAACCACCTCTGCAGGCGACACATGTGCAGTAATCCCAGTGGTACCACGGAGTGCGCAGCCGCCATCAGACCCAGAGTCTGCATAATGGTCAAAGCTGACACTGTCGCCCCCTGTCGTAATCTGCAAACTGCCCGAAGCAGGGATGCCTGTCTGCTCTCTGATAGGGTGGCCCGTAGTCTGCCTGCATCGAGCAGAACCCCCAGATACTGCAGCTGCTGGTGAGGTATGGGGCTGCTCTTCTTCCAATTGACCACAATCCACTTGGATCAATTGGGCTGTGTTTGACCCTTCCCTGGACCTGGCCATGACTATGAGGTCGTAAAAGAAGACACTCATGCCATGGTCGCGAAGCGGCTGAAGCGCTGTGGCCACACATTTGCTGAACATGTGTGGGGATAGGGAGTAGCCTAATGGTAGTCTGTTGTACTCGTAGGCTACCCCCTGGAAGACAAAACGCAAATACTTTCTGTGCTTTGGAGCAATTTCGACATGAAAGTAAGCGTCCTTCAGGTCGATGGTTGTGAACCAATCGCCCGGCTGCACTAGTTCCAGTAATTGTTTTACATATGAAACTTTTTGCAGGCATTGTGCTGATTCAGGCTGCGAAGATCCAGAATGGGTCTGAACTCTCCTGTCTTCTTGGAAACCAGGAAGTACATGGAGTGTAAGGGAAACTTCTGCAGCAATGGAGAGTCAGGACTCGGAGAGACACGAGGAGAGTTGGAGCTTTGATGTCAAACACTGATATTTATTACAAGTATACGGCCGGAGAAATTCACATCACAAGTCACAGAGCAGCCAGAGGTTCTGACTGCCCGGGTGGGTTGCCACATCAATTTTGCCGCGCCTCTATCTCGATAGACATTTTAACCAGTTCAGAGAGAGTAAACAACATATTTGGGGAGATAGACTAAACAGCTGGGCACCCTGAATCACTTGCGTCTGACCCTTAATGGCCTTGAAGCCGTAAACCATTTCGTGACCTAGAGTTGAACTGGTTTATCAAGATAGCTGGAGCCTCCCATTCCTTAAGAGATATAACAGAGCCAGGGTTGGTCGTAAACGTCAACACACAGAAAAGGTTAAATATCTAGGAGTAAAGACAGAAATATTCCCTCAGTTTCACTCTTTTTATCATTTATGATAACCTTAAAACATTAGTCTAATAATAATTTGGTCAATACTTAAATCAATAGGCGTCTTCAGATTTGAGTGTGGTCTTACACAACATCAATTACATCACAAAGTAGAATAAGATCGAAACATTCAATCACAATGATTGATACAACCAATCATAACAGAAAAATCATCTCTCATCAATGTTTGGATCATCTTTTGTCAAAAGCACAATAATGAACACGCCAATTTGTAAGGGAAACTTCTGCAGCAATGGAGAGTCAGGACTCAGAGAGACACAAGGAGAGTTGGAGCTTTGATGTCAAACACTGATATGTATTACAAGTATACGGCCGGAGAAATTCACATCACAAGTCACAGAGCAGCCAGAGGTTCTGACTGCCCGGGTGGGTTGCCACATCAATTCTGCCGCGCCCCTCTCTCGATAGACCTTTTAACTAGTTCAGAGAGAGTAAACAACATATTTGGGGAGATAGACTAAACAGCTGGGCACCATGAATCACTTGCGTCTGACCCTTAATGGCCTTGAAGCCAGCGTTCCCAAAGCCGTAAACCATTTTGTGACTGAGAGTTGAACTGGTTTATCAAGATAGCTGGAGCCTCCCATTCCTTAAGAGAGATAACAGAGCCAGGATTGGTCGTAAACGTCAATACACAGAAAAGGTTAAATATCTAGGAGTAAAGACAGAAATATTCCCTCACATGGAGTAAAGCCCCTTTTCTCTGTCCTGAACGCACCGCGGCACGCTCTCGGGGGCCGCGCGCCCCGTCATAATGCCGTCTTCCCACAGACTGTGAAATGCATCAATCGGAGCTATTACACTAGGCGAGGTGTGTTTACTGAACAACACGCAAGCTGTAGTAGTCTCTGGTGGCCTACTCCGCTGCCAAACCTCCCATAAAAGGAAGTTTGGCCCATGGGGGGCTGACACAGAAAGGGCCAATTTTCTTATGAGGTCTTTGAACGCACCGTCATAATGCCGTCTCTTTGAAATGGACATTATGGGGAAATGTGGAATTGTGGAGAGAGATAACTCTCACGGCCCGTCCACACTACAGCGTCTGCAGCGTCGACAGCTTCAATCTGCCCATTCACTTTGAATGGGGTGACGTCACGTTGCCGCTTTTTTTCGCCGAACTGAATTGTGGGTAGCAGAGCGGTCCGTCTCCGGCGTCTCCGGCGTCAGAAGTTGAACATTGTTCAACTTCCGGAGTAGCCAGCGCCAGCCAATCAAATCCCGTTTCGGAAAATCTGACAGATCAAGCCGTAGCCAATCAAACCGCGTCTAAGCTGGGAGAGATATCCCGCCGTTCATTTCTATATTTCAAAAAAAGATGGAGGAGAAACTAATTATCGCCGTAGCGAATCACCCGGTTTTGTATGAGCAGACCCTCTTCACCTACCCGGATACAAACCGGAGGAACCAGGCATGGAGGGAGGTGGCAGAGACAGTGGGTGAAACTGGTAGGTTTTCGCCTGTTTTGGGAGTTTATATATATATATATATATTGCTCCCATACAATTCCCGGGGGTTTTTGCTTTCTATGTCAGGGGCGGGAGATACATGTGATTGGTTGTTGGTCGCGGTGCTTGAATACAATCCCCAAGCTTCAGACACGCCCAGCTCCAAGCTTTTTTTGAAGCTGTAGTGTGGACGCTCCGTTACTCTGGGATAAATGTAATCGTTTTCACTGAATGCATTTCTCTCACACACATCACTCTAGAACTAGGGTTACAATACGTAACCCACCGTTCTTCTACGGAGGTCCTTGAATGCTCTGATCCGGTGAGTTGGGGGCGAGACGCCCAACACATCCTTGTTTATTATTTGTAGCCGCCCTGTCACGCGGCAGCGGGGCAGAGGTTCTCTGCCCAGCCTGCTGGGAGCAGATGGGCTGCCACGCTCCGCCGCCATGGCCATCACCAGGAGGAAGTCCTGGCGGACAGACCTGGTGGTGGACTTCCATGGACTCCGGAACCGGAAGTGCCCGACAACGAGAAGTCCTCGTCATCCTCCTCCCCGGCAAACGGAGCCATATTCTTGTCCCCCAAACACTCGAAGCAGAGGTGGTGGGGATCGGCGCCCGCTATTAAGCCAGGGCACGAAGGACCAGCCCGGGTCTCTAGAAGTACCATGAAGGTATGATAACTTCTTTATCAGTTGTTGCTCGCTCGCTGAAGAGAAAAAGGATCACAGGATCAGGAGGCGTGGCCACCTTATATACTGTGTGCATGCGCGCGCATTCAGGTAAGCTCGCCCTAATTGGCCGCCTACGTTTATGCAACTCAGTATGTGAATGCTCGCATTGCATGGTTAAGCGTAGTACCCATAGAGTCCAGTAGAGGGCGGAGCCTGTGTGAAATATAACCATATTCCCCCCGGGATAAACTAAGTATTCTGATTCTGAAATATAATGCAGCTCATTGCCCTAACCGTACAATTAACACACATTTTGTAAAGCTATTCATTGTATTATGTTTTATTTATAATAACTTTTTTTAGCTGGAGACATTAGTATGCATTGTGTTTAACAGCAGAAAGCAACAGCAGCAGAGGTTATTGCACCAGCTGTTGACAGTTTTCAAAATTAAAGTCCTCTCTCCCTCCACCCCCCCTTGCCCTCTGCAGTGCGCAGCATGGTGATGGAGACGGAGCGTCTGGTGGAGTCCCGGCGGCTCCTGGAGGCCCACTCCCGGCTGATGGATCTGGAGTGCTGGCAGGACGACATCTTGTGGCAGCTGTATGGGGCTGCTGGGCCGGCAGGAAGTGCCCTCAGCCCAGAGGAGCAGGAGCTGGTGGGCAGATACTTCTCTGGAGTCGGGCAGCTGGTGGACGCCCTGGGTACGAGAGCATATAAGCAGCACACAGAAAGTTTACGCAGTCATTTCAGTTTAATTAATTCTATGTATCATTAGCAAACATATATGGCATCTATATTTGTTATAGTTTAGTGCCCCATATTTTTGTATTGACTCAAACATTTATAAATAACTATAATCTCCTTATTCCAACAGGATTTATTTGAAGTATTGAAGTATTGAAATGTAATACCGTAACATAAAACCTCCTTCTTCATTTGACTGATTGTGTTTGGACTATATTACATGTTGTAGTGCCGTGAAAAGAGAGTCGGAGGCGGTGTATTAAGAATGGAGTTCCAATCTTTATTATCCATAAATATCAGAGAGGTTAACACATGAACTGCTCTGCCTGATGAGCTAGCAGGAATGGCAGCTAAAGCTATAGGTGTTCCCCACTAAAGGGTCCGTGTGGCAACACAATAAGGTGAATTATGGTCCCACATGGTGTCACCAAAATGTATTTGTATTAAATAAAAGTGTGTCTTATTTTGCTAGATATTTAAGGAAATGTATAAAATAAATTATAATTTAAAGAAAGATATTTTTGTTCACTTGGGGGCAGCAGAACAAGAGCATGACACATCATGGACATACTGTATATTCCCCCTTAATGAGCAAGTCGTTTCAGAGAGATTGTTCTAGTTTACTCAACCCCTAGACATGTAATAACATCACCGTTTATTTAAAGTCATGATTTTGCCCCTCACAAACTCCAGCTACAGTACTTGCCTACTTATAGTTTTTTTTTGTTGCTAAAAGCCATCCTCATTTGCAGCCGTTTGGGGGCAGAAACACCAAAACAAAGAGTTCAAAGAGGCTAAAAATCTATTCACAGCTGAGATGGACTGCACATTTTGGTTCCGTTTCTCTGTGGGTTTGTAACTACAAATGACACCCCATCTATCACAATACACATGGTTCATGTAAATCATGCATATATGGTGCAGCATTAAAACGTCTCAGGGAGGACAGTATTTGTCCTGAAATGTCCTGTATTAAAGATCATGTGATGTTCTGTTTGCATAAGTCAAATGAAAACTTAAAGTAGATTAAATTAATAATCTAACTGACAATGATACACTTAAAAAGTTGATGTGTTTAGCTTAGATATTGGATATTTGCATCATTAATGAAAAGGTATTAAAAAAATCCAACATGTCCCCCCTGTGTGCAGGTAAGGAGCTGTGGGCGGTGGTGAGCAGCGCTCTGGCTCTGGCCCGACAGAACCCAACACCATTCGTATCAGCGGTGAGGATTGTGGAGCGGGAGGAGGCCCTGGACCGAGCTCTACTGGAGGAGAGAGGGGGGGCCAAAGGCCACTCCAGGCCCCTGCCCCCCGGACGACCCCGCTGCTGGAGAGCCAGCTTCTTCCAGGTCAGAATCCAACACAACACAACACCTCACCTTTAATCATTACCTCTTTCACATTTCTGCTGTGTCTTACATTTCCCCCGTCAGGTGCTGGAGGAGGCGGTCTCTGCCAGGTTCCGCAGTGTCTCCTACCTGCACACGCGGGGCCCCGGGCTCGCAGGCCACCTGTCGGCTCTCCAACACGGCATCATGGCTGACCTGGCCACAGTGCGCCACCTGCTAGAGCACTGTGTCCCCCCACACTACCAGCTCACAGCAGCCTACCTGAGGGCCAGCCACCACTGCCTACATGCTCACCTGGCACAGGTCAGTCACGCAGAAACAAAACAATAATACATTATCTAGAAAAGTTAAAGGGACTAATATTATCTCTGTAAGTCTGTGAGTTCAGCGTGCATGTACATGTGTCTCTCTTTCCAAAACTAATCTTGCATTTTACATGAATCCACAATATGTTTAGTCAATAGGTTTGTTGTCTCTCTTATACAGTGCCTTCATTGACTGCTGGCTTTCCCTTAACCGGCCTGTAGGAGCCACAAGTGATCAAAGTAAAAGCAAAAGACATTTCTTTGCCACAGCTTGGCAAATCTCTCACGTACTCTGTTATCAACTTTATGACCCACTAAAATAAGGCAAGATACAAGATGAATAAATCACAGTTTTTAGCTTCTTTGTAACCATCTTGACTGAGGGAGCCAGAAGGGAACATTGAGTGAGATTCAACTCTTCCTTGTTTGTGAGGGGAGAGGGACATACAGTTTTCTACTGAGTGACTTTTTCTAACATCGTTTTCTGCTATACATGATTATTTAAGGTTCTAAATCTTAACTGTTCATATAATATAGTTAGAGGCATGAGGCTTTATACAACGTTTTTTTTGTATTATTCAATAAACTGTTCTTATTAATATTTTCTTTATCAGCTCATTTCCCTTTGGCAATCACCAGCTGGAGTTTGTAGATGAATCACCATTTTTACAACTATTTCCAAACTAAGTGATACTTGTGGCCTAGGTTAGCAGCTGGGACCTGGAGAGTGGAGAAATCTTCGCCGTGCTAAACTGGGTGCTACACACCTACAACAGGTGAGAGGCAGGACCTGCACACAGTTTCATATTCTGTATTATATTCTTTGTTTTCTGTCTGTGTGGGGTTATTTTAGCTCTAAATCTATCCATATTTCCCTTAATTACCATTTAATAGAGCAGAAAATAACCCAAATAATGTCATTAATCACTTTCATCAGTTGTGAATTGTAAATCCCAGCTTTCATAATATAGTTCAGGGGTACATTAGTCTAAATCAGTGATCCCCAATACACAAGCTGAACCCCGGAAGGTCTTGCAAAATGATAAACCAGAAAGAAAGAAAGACGGAAAACCAATTCTGTGTCACATAAGTTATTTACTTTTTCACTTCTCTTGAATATTTGCTCTGTTCTTTGCACCTGTTCAGACTACTTTAAAACATCTATCTGAGCTGCTTCTAGGTTGACCACATATGTAACCGATGAGCAGTGAGAGTGTTTGGCTTTAAAGAGTCATGAAGACCTCCACCACATTGTGCTGCCCAAATAAAAAGTTGATTATCGCGCCATGATAACATTTTATTCCACTTTCATTCAGTGTTGAAATGAACCTGTTGAATATCGTTTAAAATGAAATGCTCAGAGTCTGAAGGTCTTGATTTGGCAGCCCAGACATGATGGGTCAGCCGGAGCTGGAGGCTGAGATGGAGAAGCTGGAACTGGGACCCCTGATCTCCACCGAGGGACTGGAGCAGCTGCAGAACAAATACGTGCAGAGTGTTCGGGTGAGTCCACCATAAACACTTGTTTAAACCTGTAGCTTAAGTAAGTTCAGCACGCAGGTTTAGAGTTTTCAAGGTCCCCTATTATACTCTTTTTCAACAATATATTACAGGTCTCAGATATATACAGAACATGTCTCTGAAGTGTTTTGCTGAAACACCAAACAGATCATTGTAGCATCCCATAAACCCCTCTGTTTCAGCCCTGTTCCAAAAGTGCTTATTCTCTGGCTGTAGCTTTGAATGCTAATGAACTGCTGCTGGCCACGCCCCTGTGATTGGTTTAAAAAAAAAAAAAACACATTAGGCGCTTTCACACTGCGGTACTTTTCCCGCGCTTTCACACTGCGGTACTTTTCCCACAAAGGTTCATGTGAACTAAAGAGTTCTCATGAACTAAGTTCACATGAACCTTTGTGGGAAAAGTACCGCAGTGTGAAAGCGCCTAAAGGTTCATGTGAACTTAGTTCATGTGAACTCTTTAGTTCACATGAACTAAGTACAGATCGCGTTCACACTGGAAAAAGTCCCTGGGGGTGGATTAGGCAAATGAAGCCGCTGACGTCACTTGTTCTTCTTCTGCTTTGGGTTTACTGGCAGGCCGCAAACCACTTCAAGGCGTATACTGCCGCCCAAAGTCCCCGGAGTTGGGGACTGGCTTCAGTAGAAGCTGCTGGGACTCTCAGCAGCTTCTACTGAAGCCTTCCGAGTAAATCGCCAAAACGCCGACACCTCCTCATCTCCACCACTCCCATGTTTTCTTTTGTGTTGCCATAAGTTAGTCTCTCTGCGTTTCTGCGCTGGGCTAATGCTAATGCTAATAATGCTAATGCGAGGATAATAAAATGGCGGCTTCACAAAACTTTTTGGGAGTTTTGCGGGGCGTGGTTTGCAATCCTTCCAGCCAATCAGAAATGTAGCTCTTTTCTCACAAAAGAGCCGTACGAAAGTCCCTGATCTCTAGCAGGGACTTTCGAGGGGGTAAAAAGGTTCACATGAACTAATTTTAGTACCGGCTCTTTTTGGTGTGAACGCGATAAAAGAGTTCACATGAACTAAGTTCACATGAACCTTTGTGGGAAAAGTACCGCAGTGTGAAAGCGCCTAATGGTGCTCTAGGAGGAGATTCAGGTGATAAGGTAGGGGGGGGGGGGTTACCTTGGTTGGTGATTGGCTAATGGTCGGCATCACAAAGTGGCCAAGATCTGATCAGCTCATTTTCAGACAGGTTGTTATATAGATGGATCAGGATAAAAAGAGAAACTGAGACTTAGAGAATCACTTTACACAGAGGGGACACATATTTATGTATAAAATACATGAACAAGTGGATTTTGCATAGTAGGTGACCTTTAAAGACGTTACACAGTAACACGACCACACATTTGATGCTGGTCATCCATCATCAACATTTAGTAAAAGGACATCAGTTATCTTTTTGAAAGGTACATGCTGAGTACCTTGAGATAGAAAGTAGGTAGTAACCACATACAGAAAGTAATGACGGAGAAATCCACAAGATCTGTGTAGTTATACAATGTGCATGTCCATGCTGTTGTTCTTACAGAAGAGTGTGTCAGAGTGGATGCACAAAGCTCTGCAGGTGGAGCTGCAGGACTGGCAGAGAGACCAGGAGCCGGACACAGACCATGAAGGCTTCTACCTCACCAGCCTGCCCACCATCATCACACAGGTACACAGGCCATACACAAACACTACACTAAAAACACATACCACTTTGGTGCAGTGGCCCTGTAGATGTATCCAGCCATTTGTCATACAACATGTGTATTTGGTGCAGATTTGTTTGCTTTGTGTTTGGTAGATGCTGGAGGACAACGCCCGGGTGGCTCTGATGATCGGGAAGTCTCTCAGAGATCAGATGATTCAGATGGGCCTGTATGAGATGGAGAACCTCCTCAATAGGTGTGAAATATGTTATATAATGTGCCTAATTTGTATTCAGTATTTCAAGCAGGCATGTGTTACCTTCACCCTTTCATTCACCTCCATCCTAACAAATCAGGTTTCGAGAAGCTCTGGTGGAGTTTGGGAAGGAGCATCGCAGGGATCCAAGCAAAGACAAGAACAAGTTCTACCTCCACTACCTGCTGGCCTCCATCAGCAACTGCATCATCCTCAAGTGAGATTATAGATGATAGGTGCTACTCATGTTCTTCTACTCGAGACGTATTTAGCCACAACTTCTATGGCATGAGCTACAAACATCACATGCATTGTGAAGGAGTGGGAGCAGCATGCTACTATTTTTTACTCAACCTATTAAAAAGAGCTTTTCTTTTAATCAGCTAAAATGCAGTTGCAGGTGTTCATACAAGTTATTGGGTAGTTGGTGAACACGTTCAACCCGACAGCTCCAATGACCTGCCATTCCACATCAACACATTACGATAAGTGGCAAAAATATGTTCTCATATATTTTCTGAGACAAACATAACAAGAAAAGCAGCAATGGACAATTCTTATGCATAAACAAATAATAACAGTAGTCGGGGTGGGGGAGGGATTTAACTGTTAATTTATTTTATGCATGTATTGCTACAGTATATAACATGTTGTGTAACCATAGAAACACTTTCTTACAGCATGGTCTTACATCAGCGCATCTATTCCGAAATAAAAATGTAATTTCATCAGTATCTTTCCTTATGGATGCTCTCAATATTAGCCTCAGTGGTCAATATTGATATCCAGAGTGAATATTATGGGTCCAATAATGTGTTTTTTATATTACAAAGTGATGATTAGATTGAGGAATGAGCTTATTGTAACCGTAACTTGTTTTGTCTCCTCTCAAGATATGACAGGGCCTGCCTCCTGCAGCTTCTTCAAAAACCTTAATTAAATGAAAATAAATAACAAATCCAGGCCTTAATAACACCCTGTCTGTCCCTGTGTTCTCCACAGGAAGTCCACAGTGAGCCTGCAGCAGCAGCAGTCGTCCCGGTCTGCAGGACAGTTCTCTCGGACCCCCCCCAACCCCCTGGCTGCTCTGGACCGGGCGGTGCGGCGGGCCTGTCGCCTGGTGATGGATCAGCTGCTGCTGGCTCTGCAGCCCCTCCTCCCCGGCCTGATGACCCGACACTGGCTGGTCCAGGGAGACCCCACCCCCAAACTCTGCAGCGTCCTGGAGCTTCACCTGGAGCTGTACGGCCATGTGCGGCCCCCCTGCAGAGAGGTCCCAGCTTTACTCACACTTGTGTTTTAGCTATAAAGACAATCATCACTGGTACATCTGTTGTATACCATTTATGTTTTATAAAACCCAGTGTTTAGAGCTTAAGAATTGTGGGTCTTCACACATTAAACTCTAAAGACATTAGAGTATAGAATGCATGTTTTTTTGCTATAGAAAGAAATATCCCAAACTCTCAAAATTGTTGAGTTCATGAAAGAACACGGTTTTAGCCTTTAGGATCTCACCTTCAGCAGTCGATTAATATTTCATGTGGGTATTCAATATTTCAATTTCACTATTGTAAACACAATATATAGATATATCTCTAAAAACACTTTGGACAGCATCATATTTATGTGTAGATGACATGTAGAGTGTGTGTGTGTGTGTGTGTGTGTGTGTGTGTGTGTGTGTGTGTGTGTGTGTGTGTGTGTGTGTGTGTGTGTGTGTGTGTGTGTGTGTGTGTGTGTGTGTGTGTGTGTGTGTGTGTGTGTGTGTGTGTGTGTGTGTGTGTGTGTGTGTGTGTGTGTGTGTGTGTGTGTGTGTGTGTGTGTGTGTGTGTGTGTGTGTGTGTGTGTGTGTGTGTGTGTGTGTGTGTGTGTGTGTGTGTGTGTGTGTGTGTGTGTGTGTGTGTGTGTGTGTGTGTGTGTGTGTGTGTGTGTGTGTGTGTGTGTGTGTGTGTGTGTGTGTGTGTGTGTGTGTGTGTGTGTGTGTGTTTGCAGCGCCTGCAGGAGGAGGCTCAATGGCTGCTGGTGGTGGAGTACGTGCGGGCTCTGATGCAGAAGAAGCTGGTGTGTCGCGGCGCTGAGGAGAGGAGGCAGCTGGCCCAGCAGGTGGTGCAGGACAACCAGCAGTTCAGAGAGATCCTCCACGGCCTGGTGAGGGGGAAACACTCTCTAATGCACTCTATTTGATTTACATGCTGTTAACACATTTTGTATGAAGGGTTTCTCAAAGGCTGGTTTTATAGCAAAATTATGACTAGAGTAGATTACACACTTTCTTTATGCTGCTGTAGTTTTAGAAGTTTTATCACCAAATGGAAAAGTGCCATATCGAAATCGCAGTTAGCCAAATATTTGGTCAAAGCTAAATATCTGAAACAATCTGAATAAGGTATTGTGGTGCTGCAGAGAAGTCCCAGACTTCAAGTTTAAACCTAAGTATAAGTAAAACATTTATATCAATAATATAATATAATATATCATCCTTTCTCTGCCACTACCTGCTTTGGTGTCTGCACTGTAGTGACACCTGTTTCATCGACAATATAAATCATGTTTGGAGGGAATTGATGCCATTAAAACAAATCAGAATAAACCAAACAGCCCTAAATATATATCCTGGTAAATATAGCTGTTTACACATCTACCCAGGGTTGATCTGTCAATATTTCTGTCTTTTGCTACTGCTCTGAGGGATTTTCCACCCTCACCATCAGTGGCTCTCTCCATCTCCTCAGTCTTTCTCTTGGCGTGATGGCTTTACTACAATGTTTAAAACATAAAAAAACAAATCAGTTGTGTAAAACTGCTTTGAAATACCATTTTATACTACAGAGACTTAACTTAACTTCAGTGCCTCATGGGGGGTTCAGTTAACCACTTTGCACAGTATGTGGCTCACTGTCTATCTTAATCCTTCATGCTAGTCTTTAGCTAAATGATTTACGCAGTTTTACACCTTGCTAAATAACCAACATGTATGATACATATTTTCAGACCTGGATACATTTGCTTTGAAGATTCTGTAATTATACCTGACATGTGGTAAAACATGGTTTATTGTGAAACAAACACATTTACCACTTTAACATGTGCTTCTCTCCATCACAGACCAATATAAATGATGGGTGCTTCCTGAATGTATGGTCACATGACAACACATGTGTACAATTCCCTAGATACAGGAGGGGGGTCATCTTACCCACTCTGCCCTACCATATCACTCATGTGTGTGTCTGTGTGTAGGAAGGAGAAGGGTCAGTACCTGAAGTAAACCCTCTGGCCTTACTACCCGTCCTGGCTGACTTCATCAGACTGAAAGACCCCAACATGCTGACTCTGGAGGTCTCTGGACTGGCAGCCAAATACCCCGACATCAGGTAATCTGACCCCGATTTATAGTTCAATAACCATACTATCGATTATAATCAAATTCAATCATCTTGAGGGGCGGCAGCAGCTCAGTGCGTAAGGACTTGGCTTAGGAACAGAGGGGTTGCTGGTTCAAATCAAGTGCCTTTGAGCAAGACCCTAATCCCCGGGTGCTGTATATACAACAGCTGCCCCCTGCTCCGGACACTAAAGCTCCTTACACACCAAACTGACACCAAAGAACACCAAAGCACACGTCCCGACGGAACGTCGCCTCACGTCTCCTGCATCTTGGCCATGTGTCGCACTGGAACACAACGCAAAGATTTCAGCCGACGGCCAAGCAGCACGTACAAACTGTGCATGCGTGAGTGGCAATAACTCTGCTTACCAGCAGGCGGTGGTAGTGTGTATTCCTCATTCAAAAAGAGGCAACAACCGGAAGACAGACTGCGTGAAAACCGAGAGAAGAAGAACAGACTGCGTGATATAAACAACAAATAGTGTGTGCGTTCCATTTTCACTCTACAGCGAGAAGCTCATGGGGCTTTCCCGAATCTGTGTCGAGAGCTGGAGTTAAATGAAATCTCAGATTTGCCTTCTTAATAGTTTGTTTGGGTCCCTGACTTCAGTTTCGCTTCTCATGCAGTGATTCGCTAGCTGAACAGCCAATCAGAGTGATTTCTTTGGCCGACGGCCTTTAGCCGACAGCCTACCGATTCAACATGTCGAATCGGCGGCGGAAGGTGTCGGCACGGCCGAAAAGACACGACGGTGCAGTACATACCAATCTGAGTAGGGCGACACAACGCTCATCGACGGCCCGACATCTTACGACGCCGAAAATCGTCTCGGTGTGTAAGGACCTTAAGATGGAGGTCAGTCCATACAAAACCAGCTAGCAGGGCCGTCCCTCCCTACAGGCCGATCATGCAGACTGCGTGGGGCCTCACCTTGCGGAGGGTGCCTCAACTGAGCCGAAAATGCGGCGCACCTATGCGCTTATGCGGCGCAATTAGTGTGGCGCGGCACGGTTTCGCCGCTGCGAGGCCCCACTAGCACCCCCGTCCCGTCCCGTCGACGCTCGCGAAACAAAGGGCCTCATCATATGACTTTGTGTGGGGACTGATGTTGGCCAGGGGCAACTGGTCACTGGTTCAAGTACCACACAGACCAAAAATATAGCGAGTTCGCTTACTGGGAACTAAAGAAGTGTCCTTAGCAAGGCTCCATAGTGCCCAAACATGGCAGCCCGTCGCCGGGACACGTCTCCATTAACGCATGTGTTTGTGCATGTGTGTATTTGAACTGTAACTGTATATCTATCAACAACAGAGTAAGACCTGATTTTCTCTAGGGGATTATTAAAGCATGGCATCATTTTAAAGAGTTATATGTCCATTTCCAATGTTAACCATTTAAAGACATGAATATTTTGTAGCTTTTGACCATGTTTTTCTGTCTCCTCAGTGAAGAGCATGTGTGTGTGCTGCTGGATATCCGTGGTGATGTCTCCAGGGACGTCAGAGGGGCCGTACTGGACCTGTTGGAGCAGAGCGCCCCCCCTCTGCCTGCAGGTTATCGGCCCATCTTCACTGACATCCTGGTACCTCCCTCCATCATGGCCTTCTGTCTGACCACTGCCAAGTGTGCATGACATTAACTCAAACTGCCTTACAGACTCATCAATACGCTGGGAGAGATCATCACTCTCTTCTTTATTCCCCACTGAAGTGCAGGGAGGGTTCAGGGTCCTACCAGGGGCTACTCTGCAATATGTTGAGTGATGGCAGTGACACATTTTCTTTTACTTCATCTACAATTTACCAAGACTATAGCTTGTCGTGGTCTTAGTCTGACTTTTCAGAATCTATGAGCCACTACAGCTGACTAGAGCGGTGCAGTGGTGATATACTTTTGTAGGCCATCCCGGAAAGTAGCATCGCAAGGGCTCCCTTGCCAAAAGGCAATTTGTTTTCTTCAATGGATTTAGGGTTATTCCAGAAAATACAATATTTTGCAAAAACAGGCTAGGCTATAAACAAACGACTCGACAGTCGCATGGCTGCACATCACCACCGCTAAGCTAAAGGTGGCTAATGCTTGGCGTTATGACTTTTATTAGTCTTATTCAGACATCCAACGTTTGTCACACATATAGAAGCTTCAGACATTCATCAGTGGGGTATTTGCTGACATATTTATGTCGTAAAACAAAAAAACATGAGCTTGTGTTAACCACAGATCTTATTTCAGGCTTCTAACAAAAAACATTAAAAAAAACGTAAACTTTGAGACGAGAGAACCGGATGTGCTAAAATTATAGTTAATTTTTGCTCATTCCTGCACCACTCTATTGGTTACAAGGTTAAATAATATATTCTGCTCTTTTGCGATTTATGCTACTGATTTACAGTTTTACAGCATTTGAACAACAAGCGCAAAAGTTTGGAACTGGTTTATTTAATCCTGTTAAAACATGATCAGTAAATGTCTCACAGCTTCATCACATGTCTCAGTGTGTGCTAACTTGGCTAAGGCATGATGAAGTTAAACAGATGATGCAACCTTACAGGCTCAGCTCACTGCAGACACATTGCATGGACAGTATGTTTTAGCTGCAGATACATAAGAAATTGGCATGGCCACATATTACTGCTGAAAGTGTCATTCAGAAACATGTTACACTTCCTGAATCCTCCTGACCAAGAACAGCCATAGAAGAGAGGAATCAGCAGCCTGTGAGATATTCAGGGTTTACTTGTATATCTTTTCCACTGTAAAGGCAGAGACTTCCTGCTGAAGAAATTGGAGTTTGGCATCTGGTGTATTCAGTAAAAAGCCAAACAGTGGTCACAATATGAACAACTAAAAAGCATCTGAGTGATAGTTTACGTATGTAACAGATGAATGACATATGTACGTTATACGACTGTTAAGAGTATACAGAATGTTTTATCCAAGCATCATACCAGTACAGTCTGGATTTAAACTTTTCGGGGAGACTGCAAACTAATCCTCCCTGAGGAACTTGGGCTGCTAATTCATTACTTTATCATCATCTTTACCAACAGTCTTTCCTGATATTGTCTTGTGTATTGTATTTGTCCAATTTTAACTTGTTCATATTGGGTTTTTTATTTCAATTTTGTAATGTATTTATTGTATTTATGTATTATTTGTAAGCTGTTCATTTTGAATAGTGTTTCCTGTTCAAAATATATTTCCCTTGTTCTGGTAACAGGTAAAAAGCCCGTTGTAAACTCTATCAGAGAAAATGCTTCAATACATGTTTTTAATTCAAAGTGTTGTCTTGTATTATGATTATTATTATTACTTTGACATAAATCCAGTAGGAATATAAAGAATTGTGCGTCATTTGTTTTTCCTTCCTAAAACCAGTACACAGAAAAGAAGCTGCTGTTTGAGGCTGCCTTTACTGACTCAAAGAAAAAATAATGAACCTGTTGTGTGACTCCTTCATAAAAAAATAGATTTGACCTCAAACTAGAATACTTACACTTAAAATACTTAAACTTTTACTTCAAAACTTAAACCCATAACTTCACCTCCCACATGTACCATACCAAGGCCAGCATCACCTCCACCTGGTTCCATCTCAAAGATGGGCTCAACCAAAAAATGTAATATATAATAAGACGGTGTATTTGTGTTCCATGTATGTTATTCTCTCCTATACACAATACCATTGTTTGCAGTGTTAACATTATATATTGTTTTGTATTATAAATGTGTTCAATGTAATAAATCATAAATCATTTATAAAAAATGCCTGAACTTAAAAATCGTTGTTGTGAGATTCCAGAGAAGCTGCAAAGTACTGCAGGAAGTGTGAGAAGTTTGACACAGCGATACTGGACAGCAGATACTGGACAGCAGATACTGGACATCAGGTACTGGACAGCAGGTACTGAACAGCAGGTACTGGACAGCAGGTACTGGACATCAAGTAGTGGACAGCAGGTACTGGACAGCAGATACTGGACAGCAGGTACTGGACAGCAGCTGGCTGCCACGGCAAGGGGACAGCGGCAGCAGCAGCTTGGGTGGGGGTGCAGAGGCAGAGTTTCCCAGCACCACATTTGAGCTCTCAGATGGAGCTCCATGATATTTACTCCAGTAACCTCACAGGTTCCTGTCCTGGTCGCTGCTCTACAGGCTCTGACTGCCAGCCTCTCTCTGCTTATCCTGCTCCTAGTCCTGCTCCAACCAGCCGAAAGCTGACCTGCAAAGTACTGCACAACATGTGCAGAAAGTGTGGGAAGTTTGGGACAGCCCATACTTGACACAGCAAGTACAGGGAGTTGTGTGTCCTGCCCCTTCGTCAAGGTTGTGTCAAAGGAGCAGTAGTTGCAGGACATAAAAAGAAAAAAAAGTGTATTTTATTATATTTAACTAATTTCAAAAAGAAAGGTTTAGTTCTTTCAAGTACTGTCCAATAACCCTCTATTCTGACATTTTACCAGCTATAAATAGCATGTCAGTTTAATTCATTCATTAAAACATAAAGACCATTGTTTTTAGGCTACTTGTTTATTTGAGCATTTGTTTGTCGATGAATGGTTAATTGTGCATGGTCCAAACTTTTTTCCGCTGTGTGTATTGAAGGACAATAACAGCACCTGGTATTCCCAGGTGGTCTCCCATCCAAGTACTGACCCGGCCCGACCCTGAGCAGCTTCAGAGACCGGATGTGTTTTTAAAAAATCTTTTATTATCAAAAATATAATTTGAGATTTTATTTATCCATCCATCCATCTTCTCCCGCTTATCCGTGGTCGGGTCGCGGGGGTAGCAGTTCCAGCAGAGAGACCCAAACTTTCTTTTCCCTGGTGACATCAACCAGCTCTGACTGGGGGATCCCAAGGCGCTCCCAGGCCAGCGAAGAGATATAATCCCTCCACCTGGTCCTAGGTCTACCCCTTGGTCTCTTCCTAGCTGGACGTGCCTGGAACACCTCCCTAGGGAGGCGCCCAGGTGGCATCCTAACTAGGTGCCCGAACCACCTCAACTGGCTCCTTTCGACGCGAAGGAAGAGCGGCTCAACTCCGAGTCCCTCCCGGATGACCGAACTTCTCACCTTATCCCTAAGGGAGACACCAGCCACCCTGCGGAGAAAACCCATCTCGGCCGCTTGTATCCGCGATCTCGTTCTTTCGGTCATGACCCATCCTTCATGACCATAGGTGAGGGTAGGAACGAAAATGGCCCGGTAGACAGAGAGCTTTGCCTTCTGGCTCAGCTCCCTTTTCGTTACAACGGTGCGGTAAAGCGACTGCAGTACCGCTCCCGCTGCTCCGATTCTCCGGCCCATCTCACGCTCCATTGTTCCCTCACTCGAGAACAAGACCCCGAGATACTTGAACTCCTTCTCTTGGAGTGGACAGTCCATCGGTTTCCTGCTGAGAACCATGGCCTCAGATTTTGAGGTACTGATCCTCATCCCAGCCGCTTCACACTCGGTTGCGAACCGATCCAGTGAGTGCTGAAGGTCGCAGACCGATGAAGCCATTAGAACCACATCATCTGCAAAAAGCAGTGGTGCAATCCTTAGTCCACCAAACTGCAGACCCCCTCCCCCATGACTATGCCTCGAAATCCGATCCATGTATATTACAAACAGGATTGGTGACAAAACGCAGCCCTGGCGGAGGCCAACCCTCACCGGAAATGGATCCGACTTACTGCCGAGGACCCGGACACAGCTCTCGCTTTGGGAGTACAGAGATTGGATGGCCTTGAGTAGAGACCCCCCTCACCCCATACTCCCGCAGTACCTTTCGAGTACCTTAGAGTAAACTTTCCCGGGGAGGCTGAGTAGTGTGATGCCTCTGTAATTGGCACACACCCTCTGATCCCCCTTTTTGAAAAGGAGAACCACCACCCCGGTCTGCCACTCCTTCGGTACTGTTTCCGACTTCCACGCAATGTTGATGAGATGTGTCAACCATGAGAGTCCCTCAACACCCAGAGCCTTCAGCATTTCTGGGTGGATCTCATCCAACCCCGGGGCTTTGCCACTGTGGAGTTGTTTGACGATCTCAGTGACCTCCCCCCGGGAGATTGGTGTTGATCCCCCGTCATACTCCAGCTCTGCCTCTAACATAGAGGGCGGAGTTGTCGGGTTCAGGAGTTCCTCAAAGTGTTCCTTCCAACGCCCTAACACTCCATCAGTTGAGGTCAACAACGTCCCATCCTTACTGTACACAGCTTGGATGGTTCCCTGCTTCCCCCTCCTGAGGTGTCGGACAGTTTTCCAGAACAACTTTGGTGCCGCCCGAAAGTCCTTCTCCATGTCTTCTCCGAACTTCTCCCACACCCGCTGCTTTAACTCGGCCACGGATGAGGCTGCTGCCCTTCGGGCCTGTCGGTACCTTGCAACTGCCTCGGGAGTGCCCCGGGATAACAAATCCCTGAAGGCCTCCTTCTTCAGTCGGACGGCTTCCCTGACCACCGGTGTCCACCAGGAGGTTCGAGGGATACCGCCCCTTGAGGCACCTAGGACCTTGAGACCACAGCTCCCCGCTTCGGCAATAGAGGCTTTGAACACCGACCATTCTGGTTCAATGTCCCCAACCTCCACAGGAATGCCCGAAAAGCTCCGCCGGAGGTGTGAGTTGAAGGCCTCCTGAACTTGGGCCTCCTCCAGACGTTCCCAGTTCACCCGAACTACACATTTGGGCTTACCAGGTCTATCCAGAGGCTTCCCCCGCCACTCGACCCAAATCACCACCAGATGGTGATCAGTTGACAACTCCGCTTCTCTCTTTACCCGAGTGTCCAAAACATACGGCCTCAGGTCCGATGATACGATAACGAAATTGATCATGGACCTTCTGCCTAGGGTGCTCTGGTACCACGTACACTTATGAGCATCATTATGTTCGAACATGGTGTTTGTTATGGCCAATCCATGACTAGCACAGAAGTCCAGTAACAAACCACCACTCCGGTTCAGATCAGGGGGGCCGTTCCTCCCAATCACGCCCCTCCAAGTGTCTCCATCATTGCCCATATGTGCGTTGAAGTCTCCCAGAAAGATTAAAGAGTCCCCTTCAGGAGCCCCATACAGGACTCTTTCCAGGGTCTCCAAGAAGGCTGTATACTCTGAACTGCTGTTGGGTGCATAAGCACACACAACAGTCAGAGTTTTCCCCCCCATAACCCGCAGGCGTAGGGAGGCGACCCTCTCGTCCACTGGGGTAAACTCCAACAACGAAGCACCCAGCCAGGGACTTGTGAGTATCCCCACACCCGCCTGGCGCCTCACACCTTGAGCAACTCCGAAGAAGAATAGAGTCCAACCCCTATCCAGAAGTAAGGTTCCAGAGCCGACGCTGTGCGTAGAGGTGAGCCCAACCAGATCCAACTGGTAACGCTCCACCTCCCGCACAAGCTCCGGCTCCTTCCCCCCCAGAGAGGTGACGTTCCACGTCCCCAAAGCCAGCTTCTGTCCCCCGGGTCTGGTCCGTCGAGACCCTCCGCTTTCACTGCCACCCTTCTGGCAGCGCACCCGACCCCATCGCTGTTTCCCGTAGGTGGTGGGCCCGCGGGACGGAGAAGCGGAGGTGTTGCCTTTTCGGGCTGGGCCCGGCCGGGTTCCGTGGCAAGCCCGGCCACCAGACGCTCGCCGACGAGTCCTCCTTCTGGGCCTGGCTCCAGAAGGGGACCCCGGGCTTCCTCCGGGCCGGATTTCCTCACTTCTTGTTTTTTCTTTCATGAGGTCTTTTGAGATTTTATTTATTTAATCGTTTATTTGGCAGGGACAATGCACTATAATGAACACTTATGTATGTAAAAAATCAGCTCCAAAGCCTCAGCTGTAGTAAACTTCTTTGCCATACCTCAGTCTACTTTTAAGACACTAAAAGAACGTATTACAACTTTTATTTTGTTTTCGTGCGTGGAATATACCGGCTCTCGTTTCAGTACACATAACAACGGAACTGACAGACAACCCTCTGAATCAGACTCCGATTGGCTTTGACTGCATCCACTCAGTAGAGGTTTCTCAATACTCAAATTTCCCCTCCTCGACTCCTCGGTCCTCCGGTAGTGACCAGGAAATGAATTTCAGGGCGCCATTTTGAAGGACATCTCATTTCTCTAAATGCACTTCGAGGACCGAGTATCGAGCATCGAGGAGGCTCTCTGGAGGAGCTCGAACCGAGGAGACACTGATGGTTCCTCCACGGCTCCTCCGCGGATGCATTTCCGGGAACAGTGGAGGCGTGACGCACGGCCGGACTTATCTCAGCCAATGACAGCTCTGCATGCATCCCCTGGATATTATTGTAGAAACTGCTCTCATCGTGACGCGATGTTTACAGTGAGAACAGCTGTG